TGTGCACGTACAAGTAGTCGCGAGAGGCTCAGCGTTGCAACATCCGCTTAGAGTTGGGCCACTAAGGGGTGACATGCTCGCTATCACCCTATCCAGTCTCATATCCTCCATTATGCCGATGAAGGCCTTCCATGAAGAGCGCCCGGGGATCGACATTTACTGCCGTAGCGACAGAAAACTGTTCAACATCCATCGTGTGCAAGCATTTTCGCGAGTATCTGAGGCCAGCGCCTCGTACTTGTTGTTTGCGGATGACTCCGCGCAATGAAAAAGTAGCATTTCGGGTCTTCAAAAATAGCCAGACCCTTGGCCGACTGTGACGGTCCGTCAACAACAGTAGCGAAACTCTCCTTAGCACGAAACCGAGGATGTATGGGACTGCTGTCCTGACTACGCTCATGCGCAGGAGAAGACGTGGACTGTACATGAAAGTCAAGTAAGAAAACTATCATTTACACGCTGACTATCTCTACATACTTTTCAAAGCAAAGTGGAAGAAAGAATGCCGGATATTGAGACCCTGGATGGACTCGGCGTCCTGCGTATGCACGCCATGCTGAAGCAGATACATCTGCGGCAGCCATGTCAGGAGATGGGTGACAAGCGTATACTCAGGAGGCTATTCTACGGCGACGCCTCTATGGGTGCTGGCAGAAATGGCTGGAAAAATGCCGTTGCACGGGCACCCTGAAAACTTCCCTCAAACACATAAAACCAATCCGGGTACGTCAAATTACCTCATTAAATATCGACAGGTCTGGTGTGCTGCCGTAAGGACTGGTAACAATCTACGATGCCCATCACATAGAAGATGTTAAAACGAACCTAGAACCGCGAAAATCTCGAATACGCGCGTTGAAGTTGTAAGTCCCCAGCTCCGCAATCGTGTCCACATTGTATGCCAACTTTTACGCAGAAATTGGCCTCGCCCGACACCTGCGGACTTTGTTCCATGTTGACAGGACCGGCTCGGCCCTCTTCTTAAAAAAACACTACCATCATCACCTGCGGGGACACCCACGCCACCATCACCACGTTCTCTCCCAACATAAGTGTGAAATCAGTTTCAAACTGATCATATTGTGATCGTATATTCGAGTCACACACTGATCTGGTCGTTTACTTGCGAATCCCTCTCTCTCACTGGGTCCGACGAACCAGTTACAGGGGCCTTAAACATGCCCTTCCTTTCCGTTTCACTTGTCCACACCGGCCCAAGACAGTTGGATATCTCGTACACATATTCGACCATGTGTCCATTCACAAGAATTTTCCGTAAACCGACGTAGCACAGACGTCATCATGACATCTCGCCCTACCTCCACACACATCCCTGTACTACACACGAACTTTCTCCACAGCACGTGCGTACATGACGCCTTTCCGCGAAGCATCGCACTGCGCCTCCACAGCAGGCGTATGATCTTTCTTGTCAGCACCGGTACGGCAAATGAAAATTGGACGCACGAACACCCACATTTCGTCTGGGGGGGAAGCCTGTCCTTTGGCTTGACCTGGCACATGATCTGGGTTGTGTGCAGCACGCGTAGATGGAGTGCGTATATTTGCCAGCCGCTGAACTCAATCCAACCACGTTCTTGGACTCTCGGCTGTTGCATGGGAGGAGTAAGAGAGAGGGAGAGTGCGGTCGACACTGGGAATCCACCGCCACGGCAGTCAGCGCATTCTTCGCCATAACTAAACTGACGCGCCTCAATCTATCACGACGAGCTATCAGTCGCGGCTTTAAATACTGCCGGCTGACAAGGTAACTTTGTCCTCCACAGGACTGAGGGTCATACTGTAGCGGTTTCTTCTTAATGTGTTTATTATGACACCTGTGGTTGTCTTGACGTCAGTTCGTGGTAGTTGTGGATGGGGGGAGGTAGATGCTCAAACTGTCTGTTTCACTATAGACCAATTCACGTGCAAGTCACCGTTACTTATTCCGCCTCGTGTATCAGCAGTGGAGGTCATCGCATGCGATGGTTAAACTTTCACGGCTCCCACGCATCGTGTACCCTGCTTTGCATCTGGTACTGAAGCGTACTGCTAAACGGGAGGCTTAGAATCTGCTATTGCTATCACAGTCTGATCAATTCATAGGGCTTGCCATGTTCATAAGTATTTCTGGAAACGAACGCCTCAATGATCTAGTCTGTCTTGGCTGACCAAACCGCACTTTGTCACAGACGGATGATACTGCTGTCATTGTGGCAGGACTTTGTCCACACCTCAATACTAACTGACAAGAGTGAACTATGCGGTTAACCTGTCTAAGTCCCGACGTCGATTTCATTGTGAAAAATCCCCTGTAGTCGATCTCACCCGCTGGCTTACGGTGTTCACCATAGTCTATGTAGGCGGAAAATATTTCAGAGTAGACTAGCTTAGTTTTGAAATCAAATAAGTAGCAATTATTTTTCATTCTAGGAAAACAGAATTGATGTGGGGTTGGCGCTCCGACTGCGCAGGTTCATTGTTTTGATGGTCGAATAAATCAACAAACTAGCATTAAGCGAAAAGATTTCGCCATAATAAACCTTGTCGAGCCCACCACCAAACATAGCACTACCTTAACGCCCAGCGTATTCTCCCGAAAGGTTCTTCATGCTGCCAAGTGCGAAATTAGATGCGAGAGGGGCCATTAGTCCAGAGCAAAGCCGTTGTATAAATCTAACCTTGGTGAATGTTGTTAGACATGCTTATTGACTGCACTCGGAACCGTTGAACAGAGCCCTAAGTAAGTCCACACAGTAATAAATTCGAGCTTCTGTTCTCCAGTAAACATTCGTCCTCTTGGATTAAGCTGTAAGCAACACACTCATGAATAAGGCCGAGTGTGATAGCAGTTCAGTTAGCATGATTGCCCTAGCCGCCGAAGGTCATATTGTGACCTCTCTTGAAATGCCAAAACTATTTATTCTGCATCGCCCTCGAGTTAATGAACACTTATTGGTCGGATGTGTTTTGGTAGCCACGCTCGACGTAAACAAACCGCAGTCACCTCTAATACGCTATCGGTGGTAATAGGGGTATTTACAGGTGGAGTAGGCGAACGCACAGGCGACGAGGTCAAGTAGTTTTATGCAAAAGAAAAGCCATTTGGAGTGCGTGGTTGTACTTTCAATGGTTGAGAAATAGTTGCGTTAACCCCTAACCATAGTCCCTAGCTATAACACCTAATCCTAAACCCCAACGCCTAGCCATAATCCCTGACCCCAACCCTTAAACCCAACCCCAACGATATTGTGTCCATCAGGTGGGGCTACCAAACCCCATCCTGCCCACTTATCTTCAGTAGTCCCGTTTATCTCCCATTTGTATCTCACATTAATGGGAATCTACGGTTACGCAAACAACAAAGCCACTAGTCTTTTAATGTTTCAAGTAGGAAATGTGAAATTTGCTCCTTTCATACAAATGTCAGTTTTTCTTCTGAACCTGCGTTCATTTGTCATACTGAAGATATTTTGAAAGACACTCATATACACCGGCGGAGAACGAGGGCCAATTTTCCTTTACTTTCCCGACATCATGTTTCTTGGGCCGTAGAATATTTATGCGAGTAGAGATGAACTTGATGTACTTTCATTTCGAATTATCAGAAGTTTCAAAAAATGACTCTCAAATGGAAGGACAGGGAAATATTGATTATTTCGATCTTGTGATTTCTGTGAGTTTGCCCCCTTCCTCCCCCAAATCACTCGACTCCAATCTACCTGCCCTCTGTTCCACTTCCTTTGCGGCTTAAAGTTTTACTTGCACTTTTTAGTACGCAATATTTACAGTCAGACAAGCGGTCTGGTGACGATGAATTTCTACCGTCCCACAATGGACCGGGTAAAATGGCGGTACTTACGCTTCCATTGACATTTTCGTCTCTGTTTAGGCTACTTTATATCTTCTGAAAGTTTGCCAAAAAAGCGTCGCCGTCGAGCCCATCTCCGTTATGTATGACATGAAATCTCCTCCGTCGTTGTCGACGCAAATCACCATTTCGCGCAAACCTCGGATTGAGTATAGCCGGCTTGTGAACCAAAAATGTCCGCCCCAGTCTCACTTGTCTTTGTCACTATTCCTTTCTGTGCCATTGTCTTCGTTTGAAACAGTGGCCTTCGCGTGATATATGCCTTACAATTGAGAGGAACAAACGGAGAGCCACACTGGTTCAGGATATGCCTATGTGTGGCTGCTCTGCCGTAAACGTGTGGGATGTCTTGACAGTTCGACCATCGGTTTCGATGATATCCACCGTGTGCCCCACAGTTGCAGCAGCAATGGGAGCAGGGACGGTGACTTACGCAGGGGTTTATAGTGCCAGTAGACTTGCGTAGCATCTAACTACACTCTCTCCTCCTCCCTCGCCCGAGCCCGGTGTCCAGACAGTGTCAAGAA